GCCAGGGGTTGCAGAGCTGAGCTGTGGCCGGGCGGGTACAGAGGTGGGTTGCAACTCAGCTCACCTCTAAACCTCCCCACCCACAGCTCACCTATACACTCTGTCTGCAACTCGCCTGTCAATTTACCTCTGCAACACCTGACTGCAGCTCACCTTTGCACATCCCCCCTCCTCCTCCACTGCCCTCATATGCTTAGCTAGCTTTGCAAAACACAGCTGTTAGCAGCTGGCCCCTCTCTGTAGTATCCCATGTTTTGGGTCCTATCTTCCCACGCTCACTCATCGCTTCGCCTCTTCCCCACTGGCCAGCGATCACCCCTGGAGCATCAGCTTCCATGCATTAGGCTATAGGACAAGATGCCCCCCCCCTAAACACTGCGCCTACAGATATCTGTTCCTTCCCTGTCACTCAGTGAGTACATAGGTAGGAAGGCTCTGTGGGAGTAGATGGTGCTGTCACTTACAAGAGGGACTGGCACTTGCAAACACAAAAGCCGCTCTTCTGTGTTTATAAGAGACCATAGATATTGGTGTGCACAGGGAACAGCATTCCGCCACATTCCGGCCGAAAAAAAGCCCTGATCACAACTAGGTCTTATTTTTGGGGTAGGTCTTATACTTTAGCAATTCCCAAAAATAGTACTAGGTCTTATTTTCAGGGTAGGTCTTATTTTTGGGGAAACAGGGTACTTGGGGCATTTAAGGTACCTGCTGTTGAAGGGGGTCTATCCCTATTGTTTATATTTATAATAATGCAACCTACCTGATATGTGACCATAGAAGAGCTTGCTTTGTCCACCTAGGGTAACCCTAAATGACCTTATCCACACTTAAATATTTCATTGGTCCACTCGATCAGAAATAACATTCACGCTATTGATCAACCCTATTAATCTGTCATTAGTAGCTCTAGGGCTTTAGTTATTGATAAAAACTGATAGGACTGTACTGTAATCCAATATATAAAGTCAGAGATGTATGTGCAATGTGTTGTACCCCATAGTAGTCAACCACCAATTAGGTTTCATTATTCTAACTCCATTCGTTAAAATCTGTTGAATTGTAATGTGTTAATGTATTTTTTACATCATCATTTTTTTTTGTGCTCAGATATGTTCTACAACATTACAAACGTCTTGTAGATCCAGTAGTATAAATTGGTGACACTAAAGGTGTTTTATGTACAGAACATTCAGCAGAAAGTCATTTAAGGTGCACGTTCTAGACTATGTCCTCCCTTACGTTTATGATTCCAATAATAAAACACCGCTTAGTACTTTACTCACTGTGCTGTCATCAGTGGTTTTCTCAACCTTTTGTTTCTGTGTCATTTGTGACAATTGAGAAATCAAGAATACTTCAGTTCATCAGTCCATTATACATTTCAGAATGTCCAGCCAAAGGTTTTCATCAACCATTTTATCTTTTATGTTATAGTGCCATTGTTCTACAGTAGTTTGAATCAAAATCATTAAAGAGCTTGTTTTTACAGCTAGGCGGTGCAAAACACAACAGATACAGTTTGAGACAAATATAATATATGTTTGATGAATACATTACACTTTCTGGTGTTCACATGTAGCATGGCCAGTGTAAAACATGTCCCTGGCTCCTCAGAGACACCTGGTCTCAGATGTCTACTTCTTTTTCTCAAATCACACCCCTAACTCCTGAAAGGCCTACTTCAAGTGGGGAAGAGACCTGGTTCTCCATTTAGAGGAGCACGAATGGATGCAAATTAATTTGCTTACTCATAAGGGTTCCCTTAAAGTTCATACCCAAGAAAACTAATTTAAGATCCGATCAAGTTGGTACAGAATTCCCTCCTTGATCCACAAAATCTTTCCAACATTGTTTGACTGCTGTTGGTGTTGCCTGACAGCTGAAGGTACATTACTCCGTAAATGGTGGGGCTGTCCCCCTTATGGCCCAGTTTTGGACTTTAGTGCACGGTATTACCTCGAGAGTCACATGGAACACTGTAGACTTCTCCCAGCTCAGTACCAATTGCATCATATGCTGCAACTACACGATTGATGCTGCAGATTTTTATATTCCTGTACGCTGGAGAGACAGTAACTCGACTGTCAGGGATTGGCTTGTGTGATTGAACAGATTGGAGGAGCTAATGTTTGTGGTGCAAGATAGAATCAAAGCTTATATGACTACCTGGGCTAGTTGGTCACATTTCAAAACTTTGGACGACTATACCCAGCTGATGGCTATCGAGGAATCCCGTCATATTTGAGGTCTAGTACAATGTCAACTCCTGGTTCAATCTACCTGCAGGGGGGGGGGGGGGGGGGTGTTTCCTTTCTTTCCAATGGGCCGATCCTATGGACATGAGAGAGTATCTTTGCCCCTTTCTTTCTTACCCCACCCCCCCTTTTTTTTTTTTTGGTTTGTTCCTAGGAAGCCACAGGCGATTGAACATTTAATATAGAGGGGTATGGCCTAGCAACTTCCACAGTAGCTTCCCAGAAAGTTGTCGGGATCACCTATCAATTATGGGCCTAGTATAGTGAATATCTAACTCCTCTACATTTGATGTATGAAGTACTTTCCTGCACCTTTGTTAAATATCTATTCTGTTTATTTTTTTGTTTTATGTTTCTACTTTTAGTTTCCATTTCTCATTTGGTAAATAATCATGGCTTCTTACACCCCGTGGGGGTAATGACACCACAGATGTTCTTTTGCTTTATATATTGAACTTCAACTCTGTACAATCCTACTCAACTTTGTACCTGCTCGGGTGTTGACCTGTATTTGCTGAATCTGAGGACAAGTTTCTCTGCTTATTTTCCTATTATGGAAAAAAAGCTTGTCCCTGACCATTTAATGGGTGAGCATTTGATTTAAAGCCGAACCCCAGGGTAACCATTATCTACAATGATGAAATACAAGGTGGTATCAAAAAGTTTTGAAACTAGTTTTGTAACACACCAACAGATGGCAACACAAGGCTGCACGAACAGTCACAGCGAGCACCGACCTTCATAAGTCAGTGGGCCAAAAGACATCATTCTGTGTACATCTAGAGCTGTGTAACTGGTGCTATTCTGACCAATTTGCGTTACCACATCTGCTATTTCATCATGAAAAGCAAATTTGAACAAAGAGCAAACGTAAAATTCTGCATGAAACCCATACACCCAAGTTTCATCATCGGTAATGATCCTTGACATGAAGGACGGGTTATCCATGACACACTGCCTGAGTTCTTGGCAAACTTTGGTGTTCCTTCTGATCCTGGGTCAGAAGCCTAGGGACTGGGCACCTTGCTACTCAAAACACCTCAAACGACTCATTGCAGCATCGCTATAAACTTTCCAAATCATGTCAAATGTCTCTGGCAGTTTTGCTCATTTTCACGCAGAATTGAATGTTTGCTCTTTGTTCTAGTTTGCTCTTTGTTCTAACTTGCTGTCCATGATGAAATAGCAGATGTGATAATGCATGTGGTTGAAATAGCACCAGTTTCACAGCTCCTGATGTGCACAAGACGATGTCTTTTGACACACTGACTGAAGTTGGTGCTCCCTGTGACTGTTCGTGCAGCCTTGTGCTGCCATCTGTTGGCGTGTTACAAAACTAGTTTTGAAACCTTTTGATACCACCTCGTACATTTATAGGAATGTAATACCTACCCCTAAGGATATGTATTTCTCTCTAATTAGACATGAGATTTACTTGGCTCTGCCACAAAACAAAGCCCTGTTTGGCAAAGTAGAAGACCTGTTTTCTCTCTGCTGCACTTACAAGTCATGTCTCTACCCCAACATGAGATTGAACAGTGAAAAGAGAAGCAACACATTGTTGAGATCATTTCTCCCTCACTCTGTCCTCCTATCAATATGTCCCGCATTAGTACATGAGCAATACATCACACCTGATCTTTCCCTGATGCTGAATATCCCTCTCCCAGTCTTAGCTGTACTGTAAATAGACTACAAGAAGCTGATACCAGCTCAAATTTAGGACTTTACACAGCTTTGAAAAAATATGTATTGATGTTTTCCTAAATACAGTGCTGGATCAATATGCGTCTTTTATATCTTCCTGGAGTTCAGCTTTAATTTAACAACTATTACAAGTCCCATTATAAAAGTATAACTATAGGCAAAACTTTTTTTTTTTTTTTTTCATTTTGGATAGATTAATGGAGTGTTATAACCCGTCAGTTTTTTTGCCATCTATGTGCCATTGGGGAGATTTCCCTTCTCTTCCTGTCCCATAGCCAAAACAGGAAGTGAGAGACAATCCCTGCAAATTAAAGAGAAACCTTTGAGGCTCCCCAGGTCACCAGAAACTAGTGTCCCCATTGGAAGATTTCCCCTCTGGGGACAACCCAACATTTGAGATTTTCTTTTACTTTCACATTCAATGATAATGATAACAGGACAAATAGAAAGGGTGCATCTCCGTAATGGGGGCACGGACAGCAATAAAAACCTAATAGGTGTTCTATTACCTCTCCACTCTATCCAAAACTAAAAATAAAGGTTTGCTTTTTGTTATACTTTAAAACATTGCAGCTGGCTTTCTAGAATTGCAGAAGTGGGGACCCAAAAAGACAAAAGTATATTGAATGCTTTGCTAAAGCAGAAGAACCTTACTTTTGGATATGCGTCTCATTCTTGATAATACGACCCCTATTTTGTTTTCTTCCATGCGAACAACCAAATATCTCAATAACTTGCTCACACTTAAACAGGAAATTGTAATTTTAGAGTTTTGGTTTTTTTTTTTTATGAAATAAATTATATGACCGTGGAAAAAGGAACTGGCAAGTGTATTATTTTTCCAGGTAAAACATTTGAAGTCTATGTATTTTCTTGTGAGCCACGTATAACTAACTGTTCATATGTGTCTTGAGATGTTTAAATTAAACTGGTTACATTTACACAAAATATTGCAATAAGTGTGCTGTTTATCGAATATTTATTTAATCCGTGTTAAAAATATATATTTCCCATTAGACACAATTTGTGGAAAAGAATAATGAATAATGATGCTCTGCATATGTCACTCGAGTCCCTCATCTGTGAGTCCAAAGATAAATTTGTACGGGATTTGTTTGAATCAGCCAATAACAACAAGGACTCCAAGCAGAAGACTGGGAAACTCAGCTTCATCAGTGTGGGGAACAAGTTTAAGGTAATGAAAATCTCTCTTGGCATCTTCTTTCTTTTTTTTTTAGCTGTTTTTAGGAATCTGCCAGTACTGATGTATGGGCCTTGACACTGTTCCCTTGTTTGTCGGGACACACACACACACATACATTTTCAGTGCATGTTTGCAATATATTTACATTTCCCTATGTTTTATCTCTTTAAAAGCCCTACAAATACAGAAAAATACCTGTTGAGTCTGAGATCAACATGTGATCTTGTGACATGTGAGAACTGGGCCAGGGAACCCTATAAAGGCCCATTTACACTAAAGTGTAGAAGAAAATTCATTAGGCCAGGCCACTCTTCTTCCATTGCTCCTGTAGTCCATTTCTGATGGTCAGGTGCCCATTGTAGGTCCTTTTGGTTGTTGACACTGGTCAGCATGGGCACCCTGACTGGTCTGCAGCTATGCAGCCCCATACACAACAAACTGCGGCGCACTGTGTGTGACACCTTTTTATCGGAACCAGCATTAACTTTTTCAGCATTTTAAGCTACAGTAGCTCTTTATGGGATCAGACTACATGGGCTAGCCTTCACTTCCCACGTGCATCAATGGGCCTTGGCCGCCCTTAACCCTGTCAACAGTTTGCTGGTTTTGCTTCCTTGGACCACTTTTGGTATGTCCCGACCACTACAGACTGGAAATAGCCTACAAGAGCTACAGTTTTGGAGATGCTCTGACCCAGGCCTTTACCCATTGCAATTTGGCCTTGTCAGAGTCACTCAAATGCCCAGTTTTTCTGCTTTCAAAACATTAATTTCAGGGAAAACATGTTCACTTGCTGCATAGTATATTCCACTTACTTTCAGATGCCATTGTAACGAGATAATCAATGTTGTTCACTTTACCTGTCAGTGGTCATAGTGTTATGTCTGATCAGTGTATATTTTGTACATTTTGTATATGGACATATACTGTAGGGCAGGGATGCCCACCCTGTAGCCCTCAGAGCCCTCTGATGTGGCCCTCCACCTACAAATTAGTGCAGGAGTTTTGGTGCACTTTCAAAAAGTGCACCACACCTGAAAGATATAATAGAAATCTATGGCAAAGCGCAGCGAACCCGCAGGTGCGCTGCACTTATGGTGGAAGGTATCATTGTGAGTGCATCATTGTGAAAGCAGTCCTATAGGGTACTCAGGACAATAAGGCCTCATTTACATTTGCAGTTGGGGGAGTAAAACCCCCTAGTTGAGACATGTTTTTACCACACACCCCCAGCCACTGGTGTAGCATCAAAGGTCGCAATGGTGACCCTAACCCGTGCGGACTCCCTGTCACTTTCTGTTTTACACTTGGACAGGAGGGGCGGTTATAGGAGCTGATCCTCTCAATTTTCCTTCTGCAACCACTGAAAGCTTGCTTCTCCTCTCCCTGTCACTGGAATTTAGCTGTTCTAGGAGGAAAATTTTGAACCATTTCATTTCATTGTGGCCTGCGACCAGTCATCAAATCACATAAGTGACCTTCTCTCTTCAAAGAGCTTAGCATCCCTGGTGTAGGTAGAGGGGAGTGCAGGGGCTGCTGATAAGAGGTATGATTGGAGCTCATGCACCATACTTTTATTTACCCCTTTGTATTTGGTTTGCTGTATAGTTAGAAACTAGACAATTGGCTCGCTGCTGCTAATAGAAAATGTGTGTATTTGTATGTGTGTGTGTATATATATATATATATATATATATATGCACACACACACCTGCATGCAGCTCCAGGTGGCTGCAGCCACGTAAGCAACCTACTGGTTCACACTGTACGGCCCACAGCGCCCATGTGAATGAGCCCCAAACCCTCATTCCCACACACACAAAAAGCACAATAAGTCAATACAGTTTTGGCTTTTAGATTTAGTAGGTATTCACTAGGACTTTTGCAGGTTATGTTGTGTTTATGATCACTAATAAATGATTTTAGTGTATTTCTTTGCCCAAAAATACATTTTTTTAAATAAACATTTCCCCAAAAAGTGAAGTATTCCTGTAAATGAACTTTACTACAACTTGTTTAAAGCAGGATGTGGTTCATGAGAAGATCATGGTGATTGATTTTCAATTCTTTACAGACCCAACACATTTTTGTTTATTTACCATTTTCAGATCCTGTCCGTGAACTAAAAATGCCTGTAACTGATATTGCTATTTTTATTTACGCAGAGTTTGTTATAGTTCAATACAAATAAGTCAAAATACAACCATGTAAAGTTTTTTTTAAATATACAGGTATATATATTATATATAATATATAATTTTGGCATGAAAAGCTCCCTGTGGCTTACTGCAGTAAGTTTTGGATGTGATGTAGGACTTTTTTTTTTTGTTTTCCCACTGTGCATTTCTCCAATTGTTTTGGAATTTGAAGGATAAAATACCATTTCTAAACAAGAGATTTCATTGTTATTTTTCCTTTCCTCTGTCAAGTGTTTTCTTCTATCTAGTGATTTTATGCTTTCGTTACAGAAAATTTTTATAAGGTCAGCTATTCATCACTTGAATAGTGAGTAATGAAATCTGTATTGCACATAAATATTTGTTTATTAAAAGCTTCTGTAATCCGTTTGATTTGACTGCACATCCATGTGAAAACCATGAGAACATGCACTGCTGACAGTTAATGCATGCAAACTTGTCACCATGCTGCATGCTTGTCTACAGTGGACAGTGCAGTTTCTTGTATTGTCCTGTAATTTTAGATTTGATTATTTTTGTTTCACAGACCCAGTTAAATCTTCTGCTTGAAAAACTCCGCAGCACGGTAAGAAAATAGCTGCATTTTCTTGTTTTGTTCATGTTGGTTTTTGTTGTGCAAATACTGTGGCTCATGAACACCCTTGTCAAAACTTAAAGTGAACCTGTTGTCAGACTATGCACACTACAGTATTTACATAATCTACACAAGCAGAAAAGTACTTTAAAACAAGCCTGGATTTACCTTTTTGCAGCTGTAGGTATTGTGGAGAGATTCATATGCACAATTTGCAACAGAAGCACAGAAATGTTAGTTTTTACTAAGTCAGTGTTTCTAAGCTGTTAGAAACCAAATGCAACAACATTAGAGTCTTTGCTGTGATTTTTGAGGATATTTGCTATTCATCCTAAATGGACAGAGACTTTATAACACAATACACATTCTGTGAACTAACTGTCTAGATATATAATGATCCATAACAAATCCCCAGGTATACTACATATTTTGTAAGGATTATTATTAGCCTGTTCACACTATCATACAATGCTGAACACACGGCCGCTGGTGTGCGCTGTGTGACAGTGCCAATGCGTTGATCCTAGTGCCTGGCATTGTTTTACTTTTTTTTTTTCCATAGAACTTTATTGAAATGTCATGAGTTATGCTTCAATACAGTGCTATGCATCATAGCAGCGTTGTGATGTGGTGTTTCTTGTTGCAAACTAGTACACTGTACTTCTTTTTTTAGCATACATCACAGAAATGCTAACATGATGACATGAATTGACATTAGAAACAAGGAATTTTGCTTTGTCCATGTGTTGGGGCTGTGCTAGAAGTAGCTCATAGCACAACCCCAGTGCGTCTGCTGTTAATGGACCCTAAAGAAGATCTAATCACAGTATACACTTTCATTTTATAACATCAGCATTTTTAGAGCAATAAAACAATAGTTATATTTGACAATCCAATATAAGTATACTTGAAAAATCTCCTTTCATGTTGTAAGTTTTGCCTGTTTGCTGGCTATCTCTTTCCACAGAGATTCTCTGCATGCTTTGCAACTTCTCCCCTACTCACTCCTTTGGTTTACTTTTGCTTTCTAAGGACTATATATCCCATGGTTCCTTGCTGACTAAGGACTAGTAGTGGCAGGGTGAGAAGATCTCTCTGTTAAGACTCCAGAGGGGTTTGTAGTGTGTTTTTTTTTTTTTTTTTTTTTACAGATAGATTTCAGGTAGCAATAAACACTTTTTATAGGATTTTTTTTTTTTTTTTACAACATATAACCACACCTGAAAAGATGAGAGGTTTATTTATATAGACGTTGTGATTCTAAGTTTGATTGCTTCCAGAAGAAGTTGTAACACTAAGGCAGGAAGTGCATTTGAAAGATAAAAAAGATAAAGTAAAAATAAGTTCAAGCGTCTTTGGTTGAGCTGCCCTTGAGACTGAGCTTGAAAATTTCCACCGGTTTCAAAACATAACTTAGTTTAAAGCTATAAAATTCTGTGTGAAAACTTTCCAATTGGTTAGGGAATAATACTTGCATTATATCATTATAAAATAGTATGTATTTGATGTAATTTTTGAGATTAATAGAATCTTTTTTAGAACTTCGATAGCATATTGGTGTCAACAAGTTTTGTCTAGTGGAAGCAATGTTTAGGTGCTTTCTTTATACAAACTTCAATAAACTCCTCTTAAGCGCCAAAAAACATTGTGACTTTGTTTTTTTCTGACCTCTGCTAAATATCACTTTTCTAAGGATACCTTTTAAGAGGAGACGTAACTTATTTTTTTTTTCTTTTTTAAATTAGTAAAATGTTTCATAGCTGTCTGAAAATGCAAGTTAGCAATGATTATTTGTATACTTATCACTAACACTGGAAAGGTTTAGTCAAGTCGGGGTAACCAATAAAGACAGTGTAAACTGAAGGACAGTCAAACTTTCTTTCTATCACTTTGATACATTTTAAGATTAATTATTTTTCATCACTTGAGGTTATAGGATCTTTATCAGTATAGTTAATAAAACGAAGTATAACACATTTGCATTGTAATCAAAATAATGGATCATTTATAATTCTTGTTTGGATTTTTTTTTTTTTTTTTTACGTGTACATTTTAAAGCAATGCATTGCAATGTGATGACCTAGTTTTACTTTGATTTTTTACATAGTGCAGCCATAAAATAAGCAATATGTCAGTGTCTTATACAAATTATTTACTGGCTTACCCACAGGGATCTAGCTTCATCCGTTGTATCAAGCCCAATTTAAAAATGACAAGTCATCAGTTTGAAGGAGCACAAATTCTGTCTCAGCTTCAGTGTTCAGGTAATGTTAATTTCATTTTTATTACCTTGAGTTTCATTAAAAATTGCAAATCACAATGTATTTTTGCTTTCATCTATTACCCAGCTGGGCCCAAACAAAGGAAAGGCAAAATGTCAGGTTGGGTTAGGCGAGCACCAGAACAAGTTTTAGGGCTCGTTCACACTAGGCTGTTTTGCCAACGCTTGCCAAACGCCCCTATAGCGTTTGGCAAGCGTTGGTCCGGTGTTTGCGGAGCGTTTTTTTAACGCTCGGAAAACGCTCCGCAAACGCCGCATGCGCGGTTTAGCGGAGGTTGCTAGGCGTTTGCCGAGCGTTAATAACGCCCCACAAACGCCTATAATGCATTTGAGTGGTGTTACCGCTCCGCAAACGCCCCGCAACCGCGTCGCAACCGCACCGCAAACGCCGGCCGGGCGTTTGCGGAGCGGCACCATAGACGAGAATAGGAGGCTTCAAAGCCTCCTGACTCGACCAGAGGCGTCCGTTTTGCCGCGACGCAACGCGACGCGACGCAAACGCTCCTGTTAGAACAGCACCATGTGCTGTAATGTGCAGAGTTGGCAGAGGCGTTTGGGAAGCGGTAAAAACGCTTCCCAAACGCCTCTCTGCCGCCTGCACACAAGGCTAGTGTGAACGTAGCCTTACTTTTGTGTTTGCACAATACCAATGTTTCTTCAAAATTGAAGAGAACAAATGTTTGGACTTTTAGGGTGGATGATTTCTCAAAGAAATGTCATTGCACACGCATCTGTTAAAATGCAATCCTTTATTCATACGTAGCCATTAAGCATATAATAGTTGTTGTTAAAAAGGCAATGTTAGTCTCATCATGGTTAAAACCAAAATAAAAATGTATACTGTATACGACATACAAAACATATAATCCCACTGAACGCAATCCCTAAAAACTCATCTGCAGCATTATAGTGTACTAAAAATCCATTCAGAGGTCAACAATGCTTCTGGTGCCCCTGAGATTATGAAAGTAGCTATGACGTGCAAAGGTATGATGATCACAGAAAGACACTGTGAGTGAGGTTTTTTTTTTCTCAATGCGTTTCACTTAATGCTTCTTCAGGAGGGGGAATTTGTAAAATGAAAAGTAGGTAGACAAAATAAAACATTTCATAAAGCTAACTAGACCATTAATGGGAAACAAGCATGGTAAGTGGTAGCTGTACTTACTTACTTTTCTCTGTTGAGATGGTTGGTCACTTAAAGGCCAAATCTACTGAACATAAAGATTTTATCTTCACTTGCCGGCTTCACCTATGTATTATAATCCCTAGTTTTTGATAGTTGGGTGGCTGAAAACAGAGAAACATACAGACATAAATTGCCAGTTTAGGGCTGTTTTACACCACATATATTTGGTGATTTGGTTTTAGAGTATTAGTATTTATGGGTTTTGGCAATTCTGCATAAAAAAAACCTTTACATTCTTATGATATGACTACACAAACAAAACCAAGCCATATCCCCTTCGCTATGTTGATATGGCTTTTGTTGGTAAATTGTGATACACTACTTGGGTGCTTCTATCTTGTGTAATAAGTCTTTCCAGGAAACACACAGTTCTTTTATAAGCTTACGGAAGAGCTTCCAATTAGTTTATAAGCCATGTTCACCTTTATCAAATATTGGTGAATTACATGAATTTGATAAGAGGGTTACTAAAAAAAAACTTAACTTTTATTTAAAAGATCTTTTAATAAAGGAATTTAAATTAAACAGTGTCTGATTGGTTTTCTGCTAGTTTAAAACCTTTGTTGGGGTTTTTTTTTTGTTGCCGTTTTTGTCTTTTGGAGCAATTTCCCCTCATTTCCATGTCTAGTGTCTATTGGAGTTTTATCCTTATGTCCTGTTTGAGTGACCACAGTGGCAGTGATAGCATCTGATGCATAGGAAAATAGACAGCAAAACTTCTAATCCTTACTATGCATTCAAACAACATTTGAATGTGCCCACAATAAAAAAAACAAAAAAACAAAAGTGGAGTTCCAGTTTAAATTATTATTTGAGAAACTATCCGTTTAGAACAACATTAGAGGCAGTCTGTCTACAGCTGCTTGTACTACAATTATACAAGTCTATACATTAAAAAGTAATAAGATAAGTAACTGGACTCCACGAATCTAGCAGGGTATCCCTCATTGGCTGGCAGGAAAGTTCAGCAGGCTTGAGATGTAGAGACTGTAGATGGGAAGGCCTGTAAAAAAAAACGGAAAAAGATATATCTATCTATCTATATCTATCTATCTATCTATCTATCTATCTATCTATATATATATATATATATATATATAATTTTTTTTTCTCTAGTAAGGGCTTGGCATGTAGTCACATTGAAAATATGATCATTTTTAGTGCCTGTATTTATGGACTTTGGGCTTGTGTTGATGGGCAAATGAAGCTTGCTTTCAGTTGCATCCTGCTTCTGTCTTGAGATCAGAAATTATACAGGATTCATTGCAGGTGCATTTGACCTGCATTTACCTCCTTATGACCTGCATTTTCACCTACTTCTAAGCTGCATCCACCTACAGCTAGCTTCTTTTGCATCCCTGTTGACTTGTATGTGGAAAACCATTTTTAGGCATGAACTAATGCCTGCAGACAAAGTTTGTATCTCAGCCTGGATGAGATTTAAACTGTTGTAAACTGAACGTATTGCATTTTAGTTTATTTTGTGCTGCATTACGGTGTTATATGATCTGTAGAGCAATTGTGTAACATGTCAAAATAATAATCAAAAATCCTTTATTATATACATACAATCATCCCTCAGTTTTTTCACTCACAAAAAAATACACTGTACTTTCCTTTACAAAGGCTTAGTAAAGTCAGTAATGTTGACCAGGGCTCGGAAGCCTTGTAAGTAATGTGGAGACGCATAGAAGTCCAGATTTATGTTATTGAATTATTTATGTCTACACTTGCATCACAAGTTCAGCTGCAGTGACATGGTTTTTTTTTAACAACTTGAGAAGATAATGTAGTGTTTGTGTGCGTGTGGCACCTTGTACCCAGAATCACATTTTAACCCTCCTTAGTTTGTGTTTCTTGTTAAATAGAAATGAGAAAGCATTGCATTGTATGATAAAGTACTAGAGGCAGATATAGATACATGCTATTTAGTGATTCATCCATGTTTAATATACAGTTTTTTTTCTAAGTAATGAAATAATACTTTTCCTAAGGATAGCTTGTTGGCCTTGCATCCTATGTATATGGATTGTATGTCATGGCTCAGTGTCATATTCCCTCTATAGGATTTGCTTCAGTTTAGTTAAGCTGTAGATGAGAGGATGACATCAAAAGAAATAAAAATAATACTTGAGCCCCAGGCCATTTATTTGCACATCGTTCACCTGCATTTGAATGAAAGCTTTGTAGAAAAGTAATTTCTGTTGATTTTTACCATCTTAGGCTTACCAGGGTATTCGTTTGGTGTTCTGAGCATATTTACTCATTAGCCTTTGTGATTCGCTATTATTAAAGTCACTTTTTTTGAGATTTAGGTTATGGCTTTTTGTACTGCTGTGATCAAGGAGACCATTCTTAATCTCTGAACATTGCTGGTTTCTTTTCAGTTGGATCTTTAATCAAGTTACAAAGGAAAACAAAATAGTTCTTAGACTTTTTATTACATTATTTAGCTTTTTTAGTCTTGTTTTGTAGGGAATGGAGAAGATGTTACAGAGGAACTCCACCCCCACTCTTTTTTGCTGGGTTATTCATGAAAAACATATTCACACACCTGCCTATGTGCAGTAAGGAACTGATGCTCCACTTCTTTACGCTCATTCCTGTGCTGTCATCTTCTCTGACATCATTGGGAGCTGGCTGTATCTTGCAGGTTTTTGCAGCCAGTTATGGGCTGCAAGAATAAAGAAGAGAGCTGCCCCCCTGATGATACACCATAAAGCATTTGTGGTAGAATACCTAGACGCCTCTTGGGTTGCATGACATGGGTATCCCAGGTGGCTGTGAAATATTGCTTTCACCATTCTCATGTAGGTGAAAATCCAGGAATTGCTGGGAAGTATTCAAATACACTGCTCAAAAAAATTTAAGGAACACTTTTTAATCAGAGTATAGCATCAAGTCAATTAAACTCCTGGGATATTGATCTGGTCAGTTAAGTAGCAGAGGGGATTGTTTATCAGTTTCAGCTGCTTCGGTGTTAATGAAATTAACAGGTGCACTAGATGGGCAACAATGAGACCACCCCCAAAACAGAAATGGTTTTATAGGTGGAGGCCACTGACATTTCTTCCCTTCTCATCTTTTCGGACTGTTTTTCACTAGTATTGCATTTGGCTAGGGTCAGTATCACTACTGGTAGCATGAGGCGATACTCGGATCCTACAGAAGTTGTACAGGCAGTCCAACTCCTCCAGAATGGCACATCAATATGTGCCATTGCCAAAAGGTTTGCTGTGTCTCCTAGCACAGTCTCAAGAGCATGGAGGAGATTCCAGGAGACAGGAAGTTGCTCTAGGAGAGCAGGACAGGGGGCTGTAGAAGGTCCTTAACCCATCAGCAGGACCAGTATCTGCTTCTTTGTGCAAGGAGGAACAGGATGAGCACTGCCAGAGCCCTACAAAATGACCTCCAGCAGGCCACTGGTGTGAATGTCTCTGGCCAAACAATCAAACAGACTTCATGAGGGCGGCCTGGGGCCCGGACATCCTCTAATGGGCCCTGTGCTTACTGCCCAGCACCATAGAGCTCGATTGGTTTTTGCCATTAAAAACCAGAATTGGCAGGTCCGCCACTGGCGCCCTGTGCTTCTCACAGATGAGAGCAGGTTCACCCTGAGCACATGTGACAGATGTGAAAGGGTCTGGAGAAGCCGTTGAGAACATTATGCTGCTTGTAACATTGTTCAGCATGACCGTTTTTGTGGTGGGTTAGTGATGGTCTGGGGAGGTATATTCATGGCAGGATGTACATACCTCTACAGACTAGACAATAGCACCCTGACTCCCATTAGGTATCGGGATGAAATCCTTGGACCCATTGTCAGACCTTACGCTGGTGCAGTGGGTCCTAGTTTCCACCTGGTGCACGACAATGCCCAGCCTTGTGGCAAGAGTATGTAGAAAGTTCCTGGAGGATGAAGGAATTGGTACCATTGCATGACCTCTGTGCTCATCTGACCTAACTCCAATAGAACACCTCTGGATTATTGTGTTTCGGTCCAGCTGACGCAGCCAGGTTCCACCTCAGACTGTCCAGGAGCTCAATGATGCCATGGTCCAGATCTGGGAGGAAATACCCCAGGGCACCATCCATCGTCTCATTAGGAGAATGCCCCAACATTGTCAGGCGTGTATACAAGCACACGGGGATCATACAAACTACTGAGTACAATTTTGAGTTGCTGCAATTAAATTTCAGCAAAATGGACTAGCCTGCTGCATTATTTTTACACTTTGATTTTTGGGATGTCTTTGAATTCAGTCCTCTGTAGGTTGATAATTTAAATTCCTATCAAACGATGTGGCATCCTTACATTCCTAACGCATTACCCAGTCCATATCAGTATAGATATCCAGCATATTTTTCTCCATTGAGATCTGATGTGTTTTCAAAGTGTTCCTTTAATTTTTTGAGCAGTGTATGTCAGATTCTCAAAAGAGGAGAGGATACGGGTGAGGTGATGAAAGGTGAGTGGGGAAGGTGAAGATCTGTTTTAATATTTACCTGACATCATGCAAGCTGCTGAACAAGCCCCATAACAGGAAAGCAGACACCCTTGGGTACTGAAACATACCTCTGTACAGTGCTTCTGGCATAATTGGTAACTAGGATCCTGGTGCTCATTCATATACAGCTTTGCTCCAGACCCTGCTGCTCAGTCATATGCAATTTCTGACTTTTTCTTTAGAAATCTGTGCTTGGTCTGACCCTTCCCACAACACTCCATGGGATGTACTGGAGAAGGGCACTCAGTGTCCAGAAGGGAGTTGTAGAAAGTTAAAGCCCAGCAATCAACTTCCAAGGAAAAATGTGATATTTTTTTTATTAGTGCTGTATAAAGGTGTGACAAGCATAGTTTGCTTTTCCTTTTAGAAGCAAATCTTTATAATAGTTAAAGAGATTAGAATTTCTAAACGTACAAGAGCTGAGATTTTTATCTTGATCCTACCTATACTACCTGTTACTTCACTGATCTAGAACACTTGCACAGGACATAAATAATATGGTAGTAAACTTTCTAAATTGATTTTTACTTACAGGTAAGCTTGCAATAAAGCTTACCTGTAGGTAAAAGGAATGTCTCCTAAACATGCACCGTTTAGGAGATATTCTAGCTAACAGCAGCCTGTGACATCACCAGTGTACATGCGTGCACGGAGCGCTGGGCGCAGCACAGAGCTCCGAAGGAACAGCATGTGACGGTATACACATGCTGTTCCTTCAGAGCTCTGTGCTGCGCCCAGCGCTCCGTGCACGTATGTGCGGGGGTGATGTCATTGCATCTACGAACCTTTAGGGAAGAGCGGGTGAAGATGGAAGTCCTGTGAGCTGGGAAAGTGCGCCACTGGAGGGTTTCCTTTTAAGGTAAGTATTTCACAATGTGCTAGTATGCAATTTTTCTTTAGAAAGTTTACTACCACTTTAAATACTTTCTCTATATCAAGGCTAAATACACTACTGTGCTGCATGCTCACCTTCCTACAGTAAACTGAATCATGGATTCAAGTGGACCTTCAGATTATAATATGTCTTATATGTTAACTAAAACTACTATTTCAATGGAGGCTGCCCTCCTAAGACTTTGGGATTCCTGCTGCTTATTCTGGAACCTCGTAATTTCCAGTTTGCTACATCTGAAACATTCCGTGTGGTATAATGTCTGCAGGGGCTGCATCAAATGTGTTGAGTACAGCTAGTCAGCACTGTTATAGAATCTTCAACTTGATATGGAACTTTGTTTGCAACTTCATAAACTACTAATACAAAAGTTGCACGATTTAGAGCTCACCATTGTTTCTGCATGTTGAGTCCTGTAGTATTGCTGAAAGTGTCAAGTCAAGGTTTGGTAGTGCAGTTTAGAAGTCTCGATCTTGTCTGCTTATTTTGTCTTGAGGTGTAGCTAATCTCTGCAGGGGCTGCAATAAAAATAAAAACATTGTGTACAGCTAGCAGGAACTGTTATAGGACCTGGAACTTGGGTACTTTTTTTCTAACTTCATAATCTGCCTAGATTGGGCATGGTATGCTATTTGGAGCACATCATTTTTTCTGCATGTTAGCTGTGAAGTTCAGGAGACTTGACATTGTCTGCGTAGTTTATTTTGAAAAGTAGCTACACTATTCACTTTTTCAAGAAAAATATTTGGTGCACTAAGAGGAAAAAGTCCAGATGTATTATACGATAGCTAGTAAATAAACACAAGTTACTATTCACTTTTTGGATATTTGCATTTATAATCAAGGAATACCTAATAAAGCGGTCAATAAAGAAATTCATTAAAATGTTTCCCCACATTGATTCATCCATATAGGTCCCTAAATGCACATTTATGAAATTTGAACCTCCTGTTCAGTCTGCGGACCCAGTATTCCATAGAGCTATGATAACCAAAATGGAATAGCCAGGACTCACATAAGATCTGACACCTTTCTAGCAAAGTTCACATCACAGCATTAGCAGCAAACCAAGTCAGAACCCTTTCGGGCGCTCACTCTCGATCCGTCTGTCAGTTTTTCAGATGGATCCAGACTGAACCACAATGTATGTCTATGGGTGGGCAGATGTAAACGGATGATCAGCAGTTTACATCCGTCTACATCCATGTCAGTTCAGGTCCGTTTTTTTTAAACAGAACAACCAACGTCCAGGTTTTTTGAAGCAGACATAACGGATGTAGACTGATGTAAACTGAATAGAACTGAACTGATATAAACCGATGTCAATTGAAAGGAATTGAACTAATAAACAATAAAATAATGAACTGAACTGAAGACGAATGTGCAAACTGATGTAAAAAAACATGACTGAAAGGATGACGTCCGTGTGAAAGAGGCCTAATACATTATTCCCAAGATGGAATGATGCAGTCTGACATGTTTGCAACAGGAAGTCCTTAACCGCTTCCCGACCGCCCTATAGCCCTAATACTGCTACAGGGTGGCACGGGTGCACAAAATCACATATATATACATGATTTTGTATTTCCAGGTAGGGGGCGCGGTCCCACCATTCGTCAATCACTGGGTCCCGGCTGGTGATTACTCGCCAGTGCCCGGTGATTGCCGAGCATCTCCAACAGGAAAGAGAACTGTTGATCCAGAGAAAGGCAAAAAAACCCCAGCAAAGCATGACCCAACTTGCTCCTGCAGGGAAACAAAATTCCTTCCTGATCCCCCGAGAGGCAATCAGATATTCCCTGGATCAACTTTCCCTATGAATGTTAGTATCCAGTTATATTCTGTGTATCTAAGAAATAATCCAGGACTTTTTTAAAGCAATCCACTGAAACCTTTACTCTGGCATTCACAAAGTGAGTCCTAAAAAGAAACAGTAGCAAGCCAACTCCATTTTACAAAGAAAAGAACTGTCGCCTATAAGGTGCATTTACAAAGGAGTCATACGAAGAATACAGTAAGGCATTACAAAGCCAAATATGTGCATATCCTCTTTTCAAAAACCAAGGAGTTTACTGGTTATTTTGCTAAAGCCCCATTTGTAAAAAGATTACATGACATCCTTTTGCCACAGAGGTGGAATAGAGCAAAGGGTGCAGATCTAAATACACTATTATCATTGTCCATGATCATCCACCTTGAATAATGTGGTCCAATTTGCTTCAAACTTTGTCATGAGGATCGACTCACTACTTATACTGTCTAAGTCTAATGTATTTAATCTGAAGTCAAAATCAAAAGCATAGAACACAATGCTCGGGATACAAAACTAATGCTTCCTATGAGGCTATTACATGGGTTATAAGCAAAGTAAAAAAAAAAATGGCCCTTCAAACAGGGACTACATTGCTTTAAATACTGCATAATTTTTCTGTACAATTTAGTTTAAACTAGTTTGACTCAAAGTAGTGCCTTTGGGATGTTAAGAATGATAATGATATTGTAGTTGACAACAGAAATGCCAGAATGCTAATTAAATATGAACACATTCTGGGATGTTTTAATACTCTAACCTGTATTAATCTTGGGACTCATCTAGTGCATTTTCTTTCCCCTTCAGGAATGGTATCTGTCCTGGATCTCATGCAGGGAGGCTTCCCATCTCGAGCTTCATTCCATGAACTTTATAACATGTATAAAAAGTATATGCCTGCTAAGCTGTCTCGTCTGGACCCCAGACTTTTCTGCAAGGTATCTCTTCTCCTGAACAGTCATTTTAATTGTACCAAAAATCCTTTTCATGCTGTGCAAAATCATCTAGTTAAACTGCTCATGTTTTAATAATTTATTGTGCGCTTTGAAGCCTATTTTAAGGGGGTATAAATTCAAGCCTATTAATGTGTTTCTTTTATGTTACAGGCTCTGTTCAAAGCCTTGGGCTTAAATGAAAATGATTACAAATTTGGGTTAACTAAGGTGTTTTTCAGGCCTGGCAAGGTAAGTGTCTTCTCTTTTTTCAATATTAAATGTGAGGAGTCCAGGAATTCGAAATAATAGGATGATTTATTCAGCTTGTGACTTTAACCTTTTCTTTTATGTGCAAATATTTCTTCTTTTACCCTTGAATTTCAGAATACGCTTGTAAATTAATAGAATTATCAGTCGGTCTGAAGGTGCATTGATATTGTGTGCTCTACAGCTGTCATTTTGTATCTTTACATGAAAAGCAGCTAACACAAGATTTAGTGATGAATTTTCACAAATTGCTTAATTCGATCCGGAAGGGCTGTGTTAGGTCAGAGAAGTGTACAGACATAAGCTGAGCAATAAAATCATTTTTTTTTATTAGTCATTCATTTTAGAGTGCTGATTAAAAGAGTAAGGTTGACCCTCAGAGTCCTCATATGACCTTGGAGATCTTGGGAAGCACACTGACGGCATCAATCATAGTTTAACACTGTTATGTGTGTTTATAGATGTAATTGGCTTATTTTGATTACACTGATTCCCTCTTTCCCCTGAAATCAAATTATTAACCCATGGAGGAGGTCTCGCTGCCCCAACCCTGAAAAGGATATATTCACACCAGATACTATGGGATTGCATTAGGCGGCTATTCCAGGGCAGTCCCATTGCATGGACAAGATAAAATGCCTGGACTCCTATGTGCCTGGTTCACACCACTGCTTTGCAGTGGTGTGTGCGAGCATGGTGCGCTGAGAAAAAATAATACTGCTTGCAGTACTTTTTATTAATGCAGAGCAGTGGAAGGCAGTCTAGTTGAACTTTATGTCTCTGTGACATCTCAATAAAGTAAAAGCACAGTGGCTAAATGGTTAGAAGTTCTGCCTGGCAGTACTAGGGTCATTGGTTTGAATCCCAACCAAAGCACCACCTGCCTGGAGTTTGCATGTTCTCCCTGTGCCTGCGTGGGTTTCCTTCAGGTACTCCGGTTTCCTCCCACACTCCAAAGACATGCTGGTAGGTGAATTGGCTCCTGTCTAAATTGTCCCTAGTATGTGTATATAAGTTAGGGACCTTAGATTGTATGCCCTTTGAGGGTTAGGTGTAAGCTCGTAAGAGTAGGGCCCTCTTACCCTCGTACGTTGTTTGTTGTTGTGTTGTACTGTGCCATGTATTGTCCCCCCCTATTGTACAGCGCTGAGCAAACCCTTTGGCGCTATATAAACTCGTAGTAATAATAATAATAATAATGTACAAAACATATATTTAAAGCGCTGCGTAAATTTGATGGTGCTGTATAAGTACCTGAAATAAATTAATAAAAATAAAAAGGAAACGGTGTGCTCTGCCAGGCTCAGCCTAGTCTTATGCCTAGTGTTTTTTAAAAGGAAAGCAGAGGGAGTGACAGAAACGCCAGGTATTTCACACAAAGGAAGATATACAAAGATAACAGGATATATTTTCATACAAGTACATGGTACAGCAGGAACATATCGGGAAAATGAAATGTTGAGGTAACGTATTCTTTAATTATCTGTTGCATAGTCCATGGCTGAGCCACAGGCTACAGAGAGGCCCTCTTCTAATGGTGTGAGCGCTGTGGAGTCAAAGCTAGAGCGAAGCAATCCGTTAAATTAAAAAGAAAAAAAAAAACTCTCAACGCTCCCAGCTTAGTACAAAAACAATGGTCAAAAAATATTTAAAAGCTACTTATTCCCAATTCCTGTTGGTGGAATCTCCAGAGTTGTTATATATAATGAAGTCTTGGCTCAGGATGGTGGGGTACAAGTACTCAGCAGCCTTAGTGATAGTTCATATGGAATGAATACCAGGATGGATGGAGAGCTCTAATGAACTTCTTGGCACATTAGATCTGGGAGGAATCCTCAATGGCATATAGAAGACAACAAAGTAGCCAAAGTGCAGGAATTAGTAAAAACAATGTGTAATTTACTAAATAAAACAAATATTCAAGCAAGTAAGAGAAGTGCTGCTTGGACAAAGAGGGAAATGGCAGTATGTGTGTGAGAATGATGAGCCTGATCTACAGACCAGCTCCAGCTGTCATCCACAGGAAACCGGACCCGCTGTGTAGGGATGGAAAGCAGCAGCATCAACAGCTGTCCTCGATGAACCTGGCATACACTGGGAAATGCAAAGGCTGTGTGTACAACGAGTTTCAGAGGCCCTGCTTCCTTTTGTCAAGTACAATCAATCACAGGGCAGGAAATGTTTTTATACCAGTACCCAAATACCGAATTCTGAAGACATTTCTTTTTACCTGACTCCTATACCTGTGCTTGTTGTTTGACCCATCTGTTTAGCTATTATCATCCTTACTTTGGTTCTGGGTGTATTCACACCAACCTGTCAATTTCTCTCCACCTGAGCATGCTGCCAGGATCTTCCTTTTTGTTTTGGTCTGTCACTGTGTGACACATTCTCTTATTATTGTAAACATTTAAAAAAATTGTACACATTACTTTTCCCCACATCCACTTCTACTTCCTCTAGAAAACATTTTGCATAAGGCTCCATGCACACTAGGTGTTTAATTAATGCTGGTAACGTTAGCTGTGTAAAGTCACATTAAAAAACATGAGTTTTTCAGCGTTTCTGTGCGTTTTTGCATTAGCGTTTAGACACGCTTTGACGCTTTTTTTGCATTTTTTTCGTATTTGCGGTTTTTAACGGTTTGTTTTTACCAAAAAACCGGCTCATCAATTCTCACACACAGACTGTCTTTTCCCTCTATGTCCAAGCAGCACTTCTCTTACTTGAGTGTCAGTTTGGATATTTGTTTAATGAATGACACATTGTTTTTACTTTTCCTGCACTTTTGCTACTTTGTTGTCTTCTAGAGGCAATCGGTAAAGCTGTTGATCTCAGCTAATTGCTTAGTTCTAGCTTTGAGTCTATAGAGAGGCACCTTAGCCCTGTCTCACACTGGATCTGACTTTGAAATTGTGCGATTTCACTTGAAGCTGCACGATTTCAAAGTCGGATTGCATTGTGACATCATAGACATCTGTGCAACTTCATGCACAGATGTCTATGCAAGTTGCACCCCAAATCAGATAAAGTAGTGCAGGAACTACTTTTCTGATCGATGCGACACCGACAAAGTTGGAGTTGCACCGATTAGAACAGTTCCATTGCTGATCATTGCATGCGATTTGAATGGTCACCAATGCTCTTTTCTGCCCAGCCACAGACTTTGCAACCGGTGCTTGAGATTATTTACCATTATTAACCTACCATTATTAACCTACTATCATAATGTGTTTATTGCAAATATTCCTGGTCCCTTTAAAGTTTTCCAGCATAACTTTAATTATGGTTAATATTTTTTCACTGAACTTTAAATTTGATATGTTTTCTTTGCACTGATATTATGCTGCACTTTATGTTCTAGTTTGCTGAGTTTGATCAGATTATGAAGTCTGATCCAGATCATTTAGCTGAACTGATAAAACGTGTCAATCATTGGCTTATCTGCAGTCGCTGGAAGAAGGTCCAGTGGTGTGCCCTTTCAGTCATAAAATGTAAGTGGATTATCGTTTGTTGAAACATAAAATGTGCATGCATAAAGTTACTTGATTTGTATTTTGAATCATGTAGACTTTTATTATTACAAAAGTTATTTTATATCCTTACCCTAGCTAAATTGTATTTTGAGTCCTGAGCAGTACTTTTTTTTTTGTTTTTAGTTCTGTGCATATCAGTACACAATAACAGAGTGTGCATGTACTATAAATTCACATAGATACTTTTGCTGTGTGGCACTTTTTTTTTTTTTTTTTTTTTTTTTGATAGAGTGGAGAGAGATTTGAACACCTGTCAGTTTTGTTGCTGTCTGTGCCCCTGTTAGGGAGATTTAACCTCTCTATTTGTTCTGGTAAATGTTATAATCAAAAGTGAAAGTAAGAGAAAATCACAAATTTTGGGTTGTCATCAGAACAGGAAGATCAGGGAAATCTTTCAATGGAGATGCTAGTTCTGATAACCCTGGTGAAAACCAGTGGTTTCCTCACTATGGGTGAACTTCCTCTCACTTCCTATTGTGCCTATGGTTTAGGAACTGAAATTAAATCTCATCAAAGGGACACAGATGGCAAAAAAACACTCACAGGAATCATAACTCTTCCTTACTTAATCCAAAATGAAAAAAATGTACCTTTAGTTCTACTTTACCAACTCTGTTTAATACATAATGGTTGTAGGTTGTACATGAAGGTACTGTTAGGCTTTGCAATGACCCAATATTGTCATATGATGAGTCTGACTTTGGGCAGATTAGGTGACAATTCTCATTTTTATGGGTGCAGTAGACTTCAGTAGGTGACCAAACTTGATGGAAGACTCAGCCAGTTGTATTGCTTGCTCTCAGCTTACTGCTGTTTTTCCTATAAAAAAATAAGCCAGATCTACACTGTGTGCACAATTATCATTAAAAAGTAAAAATATGGTGCAGCGCTAAGATCATTAATAATATGACTAAAAATCCATAAACAAATATCATAAATAGTTCAAAAGGTGATTCCAGTGCTCATAAAGTGCCACTATATTCTTGATGATTCGGTGCTTGTGCAGTAATTGTGGTAAAATTGCACACTCACCGGACGTGCAATGTAATTGCGCATATAAGTATTAATCCAGATATCATCAAGATATCATCAGGGTAGGATAGATAGTGCAGTAGTTTCCCTCTGTGAATGGGATGGTGCATCAAGCGGTTTCTTGGGCTTTAAATGGAGATCCAAAAAGGCAGCCAGAGTTCCCCTTAAGGGCTGGATAGGTGCTGCTCTCAGCCTGTGCAGGAGGCTCCCTCTCTGGTTACTGGAAATGGATCTGGTATGGGGCTTCTGAAATTCAATACTCCCTCAGGGAGTTCAGAAACAGAGATATGCCCATAGTGTAGTAATTATAAATAAATATTTATTGGGGGATAAAGTATTAAAACGATGCATCAAAAGAACAAAGCAAGATTAGCCAGGACTGACCATCCACATATAAAGATGGCCGCCGGAGCTCCACGATGCTCTGGCGGCATGACGTCACGGCGTAAATGACTCCTCCTACGCATTTCGTGTGCACACGTCCTCGGGGGGGGGGGGGGGTGTCCAATTCCATATATACTGGCACTTTATGAGCACTGGAATCACCTTTTGAACTATTTATGATATATGCTTATATATGTTATTTTTATACGTTTATTCGTTTATGGATTTTTAGTCATATTATTAATGATCTTAGCGCTGCACCATATTTTTACTGTTTATTTTGGTTACCTTTCGTGCATAGCTGCTGTCCTTTTCTCTATTAGAGTGCGCTCACATACCGTATATACTCGAGTATAAGCCAACCCGAATATAAGCCGAGGTACCTAATTTTGCCACAAAAAAACTGGGAAAAACTATTGACTCGAGTATAAGCCGAGGGGGGAGGAATAGTGCCCCATCGTTGGTGTCAGTGGGGGGAGGAATAGTGCCCCATCGTTGGTGTCAGTAGGGGGAGGAATAGTGCCCCATCGTTGGTGTCAGTGGGGGAAGGAATAGTGCCCCATCGTTGGTGTCAGTGGGGGGAGGAATAGTGCCCCATCGTTGGTGTCATTGGGGGGAGGAATAGTGCTCCATCGTTGGTGTCAGTGGGGGGAGGAATAGTGCCCCATCGTTGGTGTCAGTGGGGGGAGGAATAGTGCCCCATCGTTGGTGTCAGTGGGGGGAGGAATAGTGCCCCATCGTTGGTATTAGTGACACCAATGATTGGGCACTATTCCTCCCACTGACACCAATGATACTTACCTTGCTGACCCCTGCTCCAGCCTGGGCTCGCTCGCTCCCTCCCTCTCCCATGGTACACACTTACCGGTCAGATGTCTTCCTTCTCCGGCCGCTCTCCTCCTCTTCACTCGCTCGATCTTCGCGGTGCCGCTCGGCTTCTCCTTTCCAAGCTCCACCTCCTCGCCGGTGATTGGGCGCCTGTGTGCCTCTCCTGAGCTACAGTTCTGGCGGCCAATCACCGGCGAGGATTGATCCCGGGGGTGTGTCCAGATGACAGGGATGGCATGTCATCCCGCCCACACCTGGAGACGGTTGACTCGAGTATAAGCCGAGGGGGCCGTTTTTCAGCACAAAAAATGTGCTGAAAAACTCGGATTATACTCGAGTATATACGGTACTTTTCCATTTTTGCACAAATATGCAAGTTCTATTTTTTGAGGATTAATTTCATTATTGAACAACTACAAAACGGAACATTTAAGAAACTAAAAGTGAGGTTTTGGCTTTTTTAGGAGTATCTATGTGTGCACAATCATTGGGTAACTGTTAGTGTGCGGAATTATTATGCAACTAAATGAAAGATGAAAATGTTCCCATCTCACTTGTTTATGCTCACCTGTTAAAGTGAGAAGAATAAATAATTAACTCAAAATTTACAAATAAACATTTCTGACATTTCAGAAAAAAAACAGTGACTGATATACCCACCCTTCTTTTCAATAACAGTCATAAGCCTTCCATTCATGGAGTCTGTCAGTTTCTTGATCTGTTGACAATCGTTTTTGCGCAGCAGCAAGCACAGCCTCTCAAACACTGATCAGAGTGGTGTACAGTTTTTTTCTTCATCATAAATCTCCAGCTTAAGAAGAGCCCACCGTTCTCAATAGGTTTTAGGTCAGGTGAGGAAGGGGGCCATGTCATTATTCTTTCATCTTTAAGGCCTTTATTGGCTAGCAACACAATGGAGTACTTCGATGCATGCGATGAAGCATTGTCCTGCATAAATATCATGGTCTTCTTGAAAGAAGCAGACTTTTTTCCTGTACCACTGCTTGAAGAAAGTGCCTTCTAAAAACTGGCAGTAGGTTTGCGAGTTGATTTTGAGTCCATCTTCAACCCAAAAAGGGTCCAACTAGCTCATCTCTAATATTACCTGCCCATACCAGTGACCCACCTCCACCTTGCTGGCGTCTGAGTCAAAGTGGAGCTCTGTGCCCGTTATTGATCTAGGCACGCCCATCCATCTGGTCTGTCAAGAATCCCTCTCATCTCATCAGTGCATAAAACCTTTGAAAAATCTGTCTTCAGATATTTCTTGGCCTATTCTTGATATTTCAGCATATGTGTCTTGTTCATTGGTGGTCGGGTTTCAGCCTCCCTTACCTTGGCCATGTCTCTGAGCACTAAACACCTTGTCCTTTTGGGCACTCCAGGTAGGTTGCAGTTCTGGAATATGACAGCAGTAGTGGATAATGGGTTCCTGGTAGCTTCACATTTGATACTTCTCAAATTTTTGGCAGTCTTTCTTTACAACACATTTCTTGAGACCCTGTTGACTATTTGCAACAAAACGTTTGATGGTTCTGTGATCACGCCCCAATATCTTAGCAAGTTCAACAGTACTGCATCCCTCTGAAAGACTTTTTACAATTTTTGACTTTTCAGAGTCAGTTAAATCTTTTTTGGCCTATTTTTGCCTGATGAAAAAAAGCTGCCTAATAATTATGCAAACCTTGATATAGGGTGCTGATCTCCTTAGGCCACACCCTCCGTCATTACACTAATACACATCACCTGATATGCTGAAATCCAATAAGCATTCAAGTTCATACAGCTTGGAGTTGGACACTATGCATAAAAAGTATGAATTATATATTTGGTCAAAATTATAATTATTATGATTTGGTCAAAATACTCGCCTAATAATTGTGCACACAGTGTAGGTGTATCTGTTTGATAGCCCCATCTTCAGTGAAATTAACCTGCATGGTCAAATAATCCAAAAGTTCATGTTTCCAGAAGTAGATGTCAGATTGCGTATACTTGCACCTTGGACCACTTATTGTGTGTAACAAGCTTTCCTGTACAGACGCATCTCAGTGGCATCACTAGGGGGGTGCGGGCCGCACCAGGTGACACCATCACAGGGGGTGACACCAAAATGAAAAGAAGAAAATTCATCAGAGCAGACATAGATTTCTCTTTCGAGTCTGTTTCATGTGCAGGAGCAGGATCCCAGCAGAGCTTCTGGGCTTGACCCCGTCCCACCATCCCAGTACTCAGAGCCGGCCTCAGTGAACTACAGTATACATTCCAGGCAGGAGAAATGACAGCGGCAGAGAGGAGAGAGCGGGGAGGAGATGCAGGCTTTTCTGTGATCTCCCTCCTCCTGTCATACAGCAATCCTCCATACAGAAGGTTACATAGGATCGCTCTTAGATCGGACGGTACATGGCTTCATTACCCACCCCCATCGCCTTCAAAGGCTGCTCAACTCCTGGAAATGTGGATGGGGTGGGTAATCAAGCCGTGTACCAATGGATCTAAGAGCGATCCTATGTAACCTGCTGTATGGAGGATCGCTGTTATGACAGGAGGTGGAGATCAGAGAACCTGCATCTCCTCACTACTCCTGTAGTCAATGGCATCACTAGGGGAATGTGTACCCCACCGGGTAAACACCATCTCAAAGGGTTACACCAAGTAAAATGTTAAACGTATTTCACCAGAAAATAAAAAATCCATGAAGAGTTTTTAACAAA